CATTCTGGATACATGTTCATTCCATTCTCGTCGTCTCCGCGGACCCATCTGACAATGTACGGAGTGTTGCATTTTTCTCTAATTTCTGATATTGTACTTGATTTCATGCGTCTCTTTGTTTCAGCTGTGTTGGCTCTTGCTTAAAAGAATAGAATTTACAAAACATAGGATAAAATTATGTTTACCTATCAGTGCAATCTAATTGACGACATTTTGAATTGTTTTATGGTACTTTTGAACTTAAACGATACGGACGCCGTTAATGTGCACATTACCGTTAACGGACCAAATCAGTTAATCTATAGATAAGCTAATTAATTTATACATTAACTGCTTTTGAGTTTTAGCGGTAACATATTATTATACATCGATATTAGTATGTCAAGAATTTATGAACCAGGTCATCAACTCGCACTTGATGAGTTCACTTTCCGGCCGTTTCGATTAGTCATTGTTAAGTTACATTAAGTTTACTGCTCAGATTAGATTACAAAGCCGCCAGTTACATTTAGTTACACAGTTAACAAGAGAGTTAACGTTTTTTTGTGTTTGTCATAAGGCGATGGAGAAATGAATTGTGGAGGATTTCTTCGATTTATTTGATCAACATTTGTAAACTGACTTTGGTAACTAGTTAATTAGTGCTTTTTATAGGAACCAGAAAACATATCAAATCAAATCCAACATGTTTGTGAAGATTGTAACATGGTATCAGAGCATCAAACAATTTTCAATAAATACGAAAGTTTCAGTAAAATATTGTTTCAGTATTTTTAAGTTGGATCAATTTATAATATTTATGTTGCAAAACAGTTACACTCATAATTAAGAAACTGTTGTAAATTTTGAAACGAACTTTAAAAAATGTTGTTACTAAATTTATTACATCATAATTATTTTTTAGGATTAGCATTTATTAGAGTATTTTCTAAGCGTAAAGTTGTGCGTTAGAAAGCTCTTTATAAACTAGAACTGGGTGGTTATATTTATTAGTTGTAAAACTTCTTTAATCGTTAGTATAACTTTTTGAGATTAATCGACCATTACTCTACGTTTATATTGCAAAACTGACCGTTACTGGCGATATGACCAGCAGACTAAAAGTTCCCCCGCGGCATACGAATTCCGCAATTTGCTGTCGTATAAAAAAATTAAATCGAACAACCTTGCAAAAACTGATTATCGCACGTAACAGCGATATTCGCAACTTAATTCTTTTAAATGATAGGGACGCGAACTTTTCAGTTTTTTTTGTGAGCCATTGAATTGCATCATTTAGATTTTAAAGAGAACAAAACACGCCGAAAACTTTTTTTAAGCCACAGCTAATAAGTCTTTAATAGACTATTACAACTTTAATGGTGATCTTAAGTTATGCAATAGTCTTCTTTGGCCACGTACAATAAGGTGTTAATTTTATCTTATGGGCGTAGCGCACCTTTCAAAATTCTTCGCGAATCTAAAATGTAGAACGGAATTTTTCTCAAATTAAGGTCACACACGATAGATTTCGCACTATTGATGTGTAAAAACAATTTAAACTGAGTGCTATATTAGTATTAAGGCATGTTGATTTAATTTATATCTGTTTGCTTGTCGTTTGTGTCAAGTAAAATTATTACGTTGTTGCTTGTGTTTTGAAATATATGTACAAGAGCTCTATAATGATGATAATTTCCAATTTTGGATTACTTCGCAATTAATAGCCTCCGGGTTTACCATATTTGCCATGATTTCTGTTTATTGCAAATTTATTTTATAATTTCAACGAAGAAATTGTAAAAATATACCAATGGCACACATACATTCCTAATTTATGAATATTTTATTTGAAATCTAGATTAAATCCTGTTTATTCTTCTAAATTTAAACTAATTTTTTTAAATATCGTGTGTGAATACGAAAATAAAATATCTTGGGTAATTTATTCACTTGTACAAAGACAACTTACTTTAGTCGTATAGCAATAAATATGGTATTATAATAATTTCCGTGGACAGTCGTCGTATGTGAGTGCATGAAGCTTTTTGTAAGCTACTTATAGTTCAATTTAAAATGTCTCCAGACGAAAACCATTATTCATCTCCGCGAAAATTCCAACCGTGGAGAGGGATATGATTTGTGCCTGTTCGTTCAGACTCGGCCACCTGTAGTGTTAATTATGACCAGGGCATTATTAATCTCTTGAAAAAACCTATTCATTACCATCGTGGCAATTGTCGACTTGCGTATGCAAAATATCCCGTTCATACACGCGTTTTAATGCAACTCGGCAGGAAATTTTTACATAATAAAGGATCACGATTATTATTTCACCGTGGTGAATGATTTTAATCCTGTTTATTTTATCACTATTTTTCACAATTAATATCTTATACATATCAGTTCCGTGCAAGATTAATTTGATTTACAATACACCGAAACATGATGATTTTGAAGCCGCACAAACAAAACCAAATTAACACCTTTTAATACAAAAGCACCACTACGAGATTACATTGTTATAAGGTGAAGAAGGGAGAAAGTTACTTGTGAACCAAAGTGTTTGAATCATTATCGTTAGCAGTTGGTTAAGGACAGAACAGGTTTTTAAGTGAAAATATAAAAATGAAATTTATTGAAACGTGTTCAGAAAATATAAATAAAATAAAAACTATTGGGTTTAATTTAACAGTAATTTTATAATCTCCACTTAACACGTTCTTGACGTTGTGACCTATCGGTGGGTTACACATGGTTTTATTAAGATACGTTTGTTACACACAGACATGTATGTAGTTTGTTACATACGGACATGTATTGTAGTTTAAAAGATTTTTACATAGTTTTACACTCGTGTATAGAATTATTCTAAAATCCTTGAGGTTTTTTGAGAATTCTACACATATATTATAGGTGTAGCCAATATAGATTTTTCGTTTGATGTATCAACACTGGTAGAGTATTGTTATTCCATAGACAGGTTGGAAATGTCTGATCAAGATTTAGTTGCGGACGTGTTAGCTTTTAAGAGACTTGGCGTTGACTGAAGTAAACGACTTCTGAATGTTGATGATGGCAAAGTTTCAAAAGTTGCTAGACTTGGTTATACGAATAATTAAGAAAAAAATACAAATATGAGGGAAACTATACCGCTTTTTCAACGCCTAATCAACGATATCTGAAATATCAACACTTTTAATTTTATATACCGTTTTTGGTTCTTTACAATTTGTGGCAATGTGGTCTATTTTATGCCAATTTGTACATCTCATTTCCATTTTGGTTTTGGACATTTCTGTGAAATACATCTGCATGACTGGCGATATTTCCATAAAACTTTCATTTTCAATACATTTTTGTAACTAAATTTTTACCACGGATACCATTTACGACATATTTCACAACCGCGTTTTCACTGATTGTGCCCTTACTTGCTATGACCGATTTCATATCATATTTACAATTTTCATAAAATTTCTTGAACCCTTTCCCACTCTTAGCTAGCACATAATTTAAATCACCGCCGCACCTAATGTTGGAATATCATGACAAATTGCAATGTTAACCTGGGCCAAAGGTATTATTTGTAGTTGATTTCCATCGTACATTAAATTATTATAACCAACAGTTTTGCAACCGTATTGTGCAAAAGAGTAACCGATAACATTCGCCTTAGTCTCTAATTTCAATGTTTACTGCGATGCGGTTCCGATAATAGTGGTTGTGGCCTTTTGAATATATTTGTCGTGGAATACCTACACGGAGTATCTTCCTTCTTCCAACTGAGCACGCTGTTCCTGCTTTTCCACATCTCTATCTCTACTCTCCAACTCCTTCAACAGTGTTGACCATTCTCTGTTGAGCACACTACTTTGATACAATATTCACTTCTTTCTTGTTATCCATATCCATACTCCCTCACCCCAGTATTAACCTCCCCCTAACACTCCTCCAAAATCTTAAAGTTGCTCCTCCGTTCCAATCCATTCTCGTACTTTTCGACCTTTTCTCCCTATGTATCCTGGGATCTTCCCGCTCAACCCCAAGATCCATCTCCAATATCTATAAGGATAAATTTAAAAAATTGTCGTTTGCGTGGAGACACGTCATCAATAAATCCATTATTAACAGATTTCTGTATTTAATAAATATATTATTAAATATATAGACAAATATTATGAACTAAACCATATCATTTTATTTCATATTAAGAACCATTGTTGATTTCAAAATAAAACCATTGTTGATTGTTTAGCTGTTGGTTACATAATGTAATTCTAAATAACTTTTATTTGAAAAATAATAGAAAATAAAATTTTAAAATTTTCTTAAAAATAGTGATTTCCGATTTCCGAGAAACCAAATTAACAAAGCATCAGTAGTATCAGAGTGCATAAGAAATACAGTTTGATCGAATCCGTGTATACGAATAGACAGTAACGTTCAAATATATAAGACGTGTATAAGACCTATGATGACATACGGAATAAAAGTGAGAGTAGAAGCAAATAAAACCAAGAGCGAAGAGCATGCTACGAGTGTCCCAGGTGAAGCCATTGATGTCAATAGTGACAAAACAAGAACGCACGGAGTAAGAAACTCGGATATTAGAGATCAATGCAGAGTTCCAGATATAGTGAAACGGGAAAGTCAGCGAAAGATTACTTCCGAAAATCGTGCTTATAAATAATCCCCCCACCTCAAGACCACATGGGAGATCCGCAAAGAGATGGCGAGATAGCTGGCATTCTTAGGAAATGGTTCAAAAGCAACAACTTCAAAATTAATTAATCTGTCGATCTCTAATAAGAATAATAAGATTATTATTCGTTGTAGTTATGTTTTCAACAAATACATATACAAACCATCTCTATCTATTTTAGCTTATCTTCCAGCTGATTTTGCACCCTGCAAGTACTACCTCTTTTCAAACGCCATGTAAACATCTCGAACGTGTATGACGCTTATCTAAGAAAAAAAGGATGTTAGGATAGAAAATTCACTTGAGAAGCTGAAAATACATTTCATTGAATATATTATTTTCAATAACTAACAGTAATTTCATAATAAAGTAGGGTTTTCATTGTATATGTTTATTTATTTTATATTAACTCTAATGGCCATAGATTCCGCAAATAAATTAAATGAATTAAATAAAAAAAGGTCAAAATAAAGAATCAAAATTTACTGAATATCACGTATTGTTGTATTAATATTGTGTTCCAAATTGTCATATTGTTTAATGAGTTATTTCTAGGTCATTATGAAAAATCTGCAGTTGTATACACTATATTACACAATTTTTTTAAACTGCTTACAATTAGTTAACTCATTTTATAATTGTGAGAAAATTATATTATATCTGACATCAAAATTTATCAGTTTTCAATAAATTAACAAACTTTCTTAAAAGTACTGTTTATTACAGTATGGGGCAACCCACGGATTATTATTACAAGCTACACGCTTCAAATAATCAGCTATTCTATATATTTCGTTTATCCTTGTATTAGTCGGTGAATTTTGTTGAATATCATAAATTTTTCCTTGCACGGTATTCATTGCATTTTGAAGACTTTGTCCTGTAGTTGTAATTCTGTTGGTTAAAGACGCTTCACTACTTACAAGTTTATCTTCAATTGTCTTCAAACTAGATTCAATGGTTTTTGCGTTTGGCACGTTGGAATTTTGAGCAGTCACTTCCTTTTTAACATCACCGATTTGAACACTCAAAGCATTAAGAATTTGTTGTTTACCATCTTCATTTTTGCTTTTTATGTCGTACATTTCATTCTTAATATCAGATAAATTTAATTCCAAGTTGTTTATTTTTACTGAATTTTGTTGATTTAAGTTGTTGTTGACTTTTTGATCCGCTTCTATGCCTGTTATTTTAAAAGCAAGTTTATCAAATTTATTTTTTTGATTATTTTCATTATCTAATAGAGCTTTATTTATTTGCTGAATAGATAAATTAATATCTAATTTATCAAGGTTAATTAATTGGTTTAAAAGTTTCTTCGTGTTATCTTCCACTTCCTTTAAATTGTCCATATGATTTTGGTGCTGATTTTTAATTTCTTTTAAACTATTCGCCATTTTGTTTTCAAAGTCAGTTATTTTACGATTTTGTTTATCGGAATGTTGTTGTATTGTATTAGTTAAACTATTTTCTATGCCTGTTAATCTAGTTAACACATTTTGTATAGTATTTTGGACAGTTTTCACTTCATCCAGTTGCTTTTGATTACTTATTTCTATACTTTTGACATCATTTTTAATGTAGTCAATATTATCTACCTTGGTTAGGATTTGGTTAAAATTAGCCATAAAATTTTTGTTTTGACTACCACATTCTTGGAGTGTTTCATTAGATAACAATAAAATAGCATCCTGGTCAATTTCAAAGGTATTTAATTTTGATTTTACACTAAATTTGAAACGAAAAGAATAATTTCATTAACATTATTGGTATGTTTGGAATTTATTAATTTTTACCTAACTAATGATGTGGATATTCTTTTATTTTGAAGAATTATTAATTGTTGAATGTTATCTACAAAATTATTACTTATACTAATTATATTTTAATAATTTATGTAGACTTACCGATTACAAATTTTAAATCATCTCTAACATTTTTAATGTCAGCAGTTATATCACTTTTTGCTGGTAAAATAATACTTGTCATAACGATTAAAGCGAGCGAGAATAAAGGCCAACGCATTTTTACAAAGTTGAAATCAGAATAAAAGATTATTGAATGTTTTCACTTATAAACGATTTTATGTTTATAAAATATTAACAGATAATTTTTCATTTATTGACATGTAGATAAGAATTATAGGAAACGAAGATGTAATCAACAAATTTAACAAACTTATTTTAATAATTCTTCGAATTGTTGCTACTTTTAGATTAAACTTGACGGATAACGATGAATACAGGCCATAACCTTACTTCAAGGTCTGTTAAACAATAATGTACTAATTAAAGTTATTGAATCCCCTTTAATTTTTCTAGTAGCAAAAGAACCTAATTCCCCAACTTGCATGGTGTAAAGACACCATGCATGTTAATGCATTAAATAAATTGACTTTTATAATAAATGAGAATTTTTTTTTGAAATATTGATTAAATAAGGTTACGACCTATTTATCAGTATTTGTAAATTTAACTCTAAAAATAGGTAATTTTCAAAGAATTATTTAATAAATTTGTGGGTCACAGCATTTTTTCCAATTATTCTTATCTCTATGAAAACAAATGAAAATTATCTCAAATGTTTTATTACTATAAAACCGTTTAAAATGTCAAGATATTCAATATACACAATCATTCTTAATTCATCTGCATAAAAATGTACATGTTTTTATTTTCAGTGGTTTTAACTATCATTTCTGCTTTCACTTTATCAACAAATGGTGATGTTGCTGATGACATTAGAAACTTTCGAGATGATCTAAAAGTTGTGCTCGGTAAGGCAGCATAAATAATTATTATAAATAAATAATTCGTTTTTTTTTTCTTTGTAGGTGACGTTCAACAGTTAATGATTAATCAAAATAATAAAATAACTGCATCATTTGATAGGTAAAATCAATAAAATTTAGTTATAAAAACATAATTAATTAAATCTTTTTTTTAATATTTAGCGTAGAAACAAAATTGACAATTTCTGAAATTGATCAAGAAATGGCTTTATTATTATCTAATCAAACATTTGAAGAATGTGGTAGTAAAATTAAAAATTTTACGACTAACTTCGTAAAAATCCAAACGAAATTAGATGATATTGACCACCTTAAAAACGATATCAAGAACATCGACATAAAAAATCAAAAGAACCACGATGAAGTACAAAATGTACAAAATACGATAAAAGATGTATTTACCAAAATATCGAACACAGAAAATTCATTAACTAATGTAATACAAATAAATGCGGATACACAAAATCGCAAATTAACTGATTTTGAAAACAAAATGACGAATAGTTTAAAGGAAATTGAGAATAAACATCAAATCTATTTGGCTAATATAAAGAAAATGGAAGATGATATAGAACAAGTTTTGAAGAAAATAATTCACATCGAGCAACAAGATATTAATTTATCCATACAAACAATAAATAAAGCAATACTAGATAATCAAAACAATCAAAATGTTAAATTCGATCAACTTATATTTAAAGTATCGGAAATTGAAGCTGAACAAAAAATCAGTAACAATTTAAATCAACAAAGTTTAAAGAAAGTTAATGACATGGAAACAAATTTATCTGATATTAAAAATGAAATAAGCGATATGAAAAACAAAAACGAAGGTGGCAAAAACCAAATTCTCAATTCCGTGAATAGTGAAATTAGTGATGTTAAAAAAGAGGTAACTGGTCAAAATTCTGTCGTACACAAGACAAAAGCAATTGAAAATAGTTTAAAGAAAATTGAAGATCTCACAAATAAAGTTAAAAGTAGCGAGGCATCGTTAACCACTACGATAACGAATACAGGACAAAATCTTCAAACAACAATGAATACCTTGCAAGGAAAAGTTTCTACTATACAACAAAATACGCCGGATAATAGTAAGATAAATGAAATATATAGAATAGCTGATTATATGAAACGTGTAGCGTGTAGTAATCCGTTTATTACTCATTACTGTAATCAAAACTATTTTTAATTATATCTCAAAGTAATTTCGTAGGTGTTTAATTATAATTAAGTCCAATATTAACATAAATTCCCTCGCAAAATCACACCCTCGTGGTTTGAGTGGTGTCATAACATCGTCTTATTCAAACGTATAAACAGGATACCTTGTTCAGATACGCTGTCATGTAGCGAAACCCATCCGTAGAGCTCAAGGTCGCAAATTCATTCTCAGGCTTGTTCTAACAAGTGATGAGGTTGGGATTAGGTTCGGTTCCGTGTCTTATTCAGACTCTACCTGTACGTCGCTAATAGTTGCTGTATTTCAGGCACACCCTCATGTTTCGCTCGTATAACTACGAGCTCATCAGCGCCGACATGTTAACGCAAGACTTCGCTGAGAGGGACTAGCGTCATAACATCGTCTTACTCAGATGTTGAGACGTCTTTTGCCTTATTCAGGCACTCTATCATGTAGCGAAAACCCATCCGTAAAGCACAAAAGTCAATATAGTCTGTGTAATTTTCCAACAAAAATTTGTTTTCAATTTACTGGCGTACAAGAGATCATAACTTGACTTCTGTTTTAGGGACATATCAAATAAAGTGCAGGTCGTTATCGTTCGATGTGAACAAGTAAACGAAATGTAACTAAAAGAATGATTGCCCATTTTAAATTTATGATTTATAATCCACATTAGACTCCTAATCATGAAGTACGTTCCTGATCTAGTTCAGAAAACGTCCGTTAAGAATACGATCTGTCGGTTCATGAGACAAAGCTTTGCAAGTTGTTCTTCTTCGTTGAGGTCAATAATTTCGAGGTCCATTATAAAAAATATAAATGCGACTATATAAACTCTTAGGTTACTATGCCTTAAAAAAATCGCTAAGATACGTCATGCGAACTTTTCAAGACCCCATAATTACGCGAAATTTTGAAAAGTTACACACATATTAAACTATGTTTTATATTTACACTAGGTATTTTGTTATTGTGAATAAATATCACAAATCCGTGATATTTTTCAGTATAGAACGATTTTGCGATACTCTTCGCAAATGAAACTTATAACCTTATATTTTTTTTGCTTATAACTCATAATAAAATTAACGTTATGTTCATATAAACATACCATTGGAAAAGGACCTAAAACGCACAACCCTGACCCCCATAAACAATTTAATTCTCAAATGATAAAAATGTAAAACCAAATTTCTTAAAGTATCTGCAACAAGCAATTGTTTTAACACTTTAAACGACAACAACTGATTACTGCAATGCGGTGGAAATACATCATTTACAACGACCGAGTCCATTTTGTAGTAGTGGCGGTATTTGAGGAAACGCTGAATGAATTTCACGACTTCAGTCTGTTGTAGTGGTGTCCACGGGTCCATCTTTCTTCTCGGGAAGAGGTGAAGAAGCGGCATAGAATGCTGCATCGTTTGGCAGATGTAATTTGACAGGTTTGTTTGGGCATATCAGGCATCAAAGTTTAAAGTAAATTAATATACAAATTGCTTTAATTCAGTAAAGCCAATCTCTTGTACTTCATCAAATATCTAAAAAATTAATAAAATATTAATTACTTCCTACAAAGTGATTGAAATATGACATAATTATAAAACACGGTAATGTTGGTGCAGAGAGTTGGTGGAGACTTTAGCATCGAATTTCCGCACATATCAAGGTTCGCATGTCGATGTTATGAGCCTTTAGAGTGCTCTTCCTCGATTTTTGTAGACTTTTATTGCTTTAATTCCATAGATTATTCTTGGCCTGTGTGCTGCCATATGAAAAATTTATGCAAAATGTAAATGTTTTAAATGTTTTGATGTTAAGTCTTTTATTATTTCTTCCTCTAGATTTGTTTATTTGTTTATGTGGCCAGCTGACTTTTATATGTTTATAATAATATAATTGAGTTGATTCAGGTCGCTAACTTTCACTGTTATGAAATAGAACTTTTTTTCTGCTTCATCAGGCTTGTTGGGATTCTGAAGTTCACCTTTTCGACGGTCGTCTGATATTTCGACTTTTGGCCTATTTCGGCCAACACTCGTCATCTATCCTGTCCAGGTAGTTTTTCCAACATCTGCGCCTCGCCCGCACATTTCTATCTGATCTCTCGAGTTTACTCGTTTAATCGTCCCTAGCGTTTCCAGTTCGGTGACTCTTAACATGCTCTTGGTGTTGACATACTCGCCCTACTTTCCGATGCATAAGTCACTACCGGCCTTTCTGCTGTTTTGTAGATGCAGACTTTGCTCTTCTTGGACATGTATTTGTACCTCCATACAATGTCTCTTAAATATCCAGATCTCAAAGGCTCCGGAATGCCTTTGTTGATTTTTGCCCTAACTTGTTGGTACAAATTCCTCACAGTTCTGAAAAGACTAATTTGCTAAGTAAATAAGGTCTTTAGAAGAAATATTGATGTGAAGAAATTATATATTGAAACTCATTGACCTATGTTATATAGGGGTGTTATAAGATCTTTCATCACACTGTATTTTTGAGAGATAAACATTACAATTTAATAGCGAAATGATAAATTAATTAATTAAGTGTTTAAAACGTTAATATTAGTTTTAACTTAAAATTTATGTATATCGTTAGGATGACAATGAAATTTATTTAAACTTATTTTTTTACTATTAAAGTAATTAACTTATGATGATTCATACGTTAATACTTGAAAATCTTTTACAATTACTTCACTTCCATCTACGTTTGTCCAAATATATAAACCAGGATTATTATGACCATATTTATAAACAGTTGAAACTTTCCATTCGTTTTCATGGAAAACTTTTCCTACATATCTAATTCCACTTGGATGTTCGCCGGCTGCAACGATTTTATTTAAAAGATCTCCTTGTACAGCAACATTATTAATGTATTTCCAACGTAAACGTTCCGGTTCAGATGTACATAAAATCTTAATAAATAATAATAATAATTTTAAACAATTTTATATAATTAATTAATAATTACCATAATGTCTTTATTAAAGACTCTTTTCTTATTTAAAACATCTGTTGTAGCTGATTTGGATGTCGAATTAAATGTAGCTGGATAATAACTAACTACTTTGTTATCTAGATATAAAACATAATTATTATGTAATTTATATTTAAAAAATTATTTTACCATAACAAACACCAACTCGACCTACGAAAATTTCAGAGTTTTCATCTTCTGTTGAAACAGCGTCGTTTGGTATACAATCTTCATAAATTCTCCAATAATATGGTTCTAACATGATAGGGATTTTATAATTAATTAACTTAAAATCAATAAAACTTACTAGTAACACAAGATGAATTAATTATAGTTGCTAATAAAAGAAAAATGAATTTATTGAACATGTTTACTTCTTCAAACGAACGTCTTTCGTTCACTAACCGCTTGATTTAAAATAAAGTTTAAGAATTAAATTTAAACGTATACAAGGTCACCCACTACATCGCGTTTATGGTTATACCTGTTTTAACGATTATACCAAAGAACTTGTTTATTTCAATTCGAAAAATCGAAAATTTAAAACAAAACCTTTGACCAAAGATAACCTTTTCTTCAGAGAATCATGTTATTTATAACTTTCTAAAAATGTTCTTTATAAAATTATTATTTATTTCAATACAATATCTAATTAATTTATTGCAACATTTTTGATAAATAGTTTGAGGGGCAAGTATGCTTGAAACTGTTGCATCATAATCATTCTCATCTTCATTCTCTTTGCTAGTTCGTTGAGTTATTGTAATCGATAAGTAGAATGAGAAAACAACAATGGTAGCTTGTCTCATCGTGTTGCTGAAATCAATATTATGGACTTCGCAATAGCTGTGTCGAGTTCTTATATCTTCTTATTATATCTTCCGGGAGAATAACGTTCGTAGATCTATGCAAATATTACAAGATGTAGACAACGATAACTGCTTTGTTGAATGTATTTTCAAAACAAATGCAATACAATTAATCTAAAATAACAAATGCTGCATTCTTTGTAAACGTATTCACAGGTTATGCTTTTGAAAACAAAACCATTCGCACAGAGTAACCTCGTTTCAGGGTGTTATATATATAGAAAAAATAAATAAATAGAAGTATAATATCTACTACAAGAGATATAGCTAGAATCTACATACTACAATCAATTAAAGAGACATTATCCGAGGCGCTTCAAGCTGGACCTTTACAGAAATAGAAGTCGAGGTCATTTGCAGCCGAGGCGCTATAATCTAAAATTACAACCTAAAATTAGTCGCGGAAATTGGTTGTAAATTTTGTTCTCAAGATCAGAAATTAACTGTCAATACAGAGACTTACTAAATAAACGTTTTAAGACATTACATTTTTTAAACTACGCGTAGAGCCGATTTCTGAATTGGAAGATTTTGGTTCTGCGACTGCTAACTGAATCTGATGTCACTTTTGTGTTCCTTTATGTGACATTCGGAGTTCCGTCCAGTTTACTCTACATAATATTTTCCACACATGCACCACCAGACTGTAGACTCTGACCCTTTTAACGGAGAAAATTCGTCCTTTGCCATCAGCAATACGTTCCTTAATTTAATAACTCTCCCATGTCTCATCACGATGTCGTCCTTTCTTAGTTCATCCCGTTACACCTGAAGCAATACGAAGTCAGATGATTAGCAGTCTTTCCTTTGTACGGAGATGCAGAGAGAACAACATCTTGGATACAATACGTGGATGATACTTTTGTCATTAGGAAACATGGTTATGTACTTGCTTGTAGATTTTGTATGTCATTCAAACAGCCAGCATGCAATGATAAAGTTCACCATAAAGGAAGAAATGGGCAACCAGCTATTACCATTGTTCGATTTATTACGAAAGTAATAAGAAATATATAAAATAAAATCAGTAAATGATTTATTACATCATCAGTAAGCGATTCATTTCGAACAGATATAAATTTATTACACTTGTAACGAAGCTATTGTATTATTATCATCACATGGTGACCATTCAAACATTAATACTTGAAAATCTGGTGCAATCACCAGTTTACCATCAACGTTCGACCATATATATAAACCAGGCCTGTTATGAGCGTACACAGTTGAAATTTTCCATTCGTTTTCGTGAAAAACTTTTCCGATATACGTAATTCCAGTTGTTTCTTTACCCACTGGAACTAGTTTGTTTAATATATCACGATCATGTAGGGCAACACTATTAATGTACTTCCAACGTAAACGTTTCGGTTCAGATGTACATAAAATCTAAATAAATAATCAAAATATTTTAAACAATTTTATATAATTAATCAATAATTACCATAATATTATTATAAAAAACTCTTTTCATCTCATGTACAAATGTTACTGCAATTTTATTTGTAGAATTAAAGGTAGCTGGATAGTAAGTAACACTCATTTGATCTAGAAATAAAAAATTATTACTATATAATATACATATATTGAAAATATTTATTTTACTATCACAAACAGGAATTCGACCAACGAAAATTTCAGATTTATCATCTTCCGTTGAAAGAGCATCGTGTGGTGTAAATTCTTCGTAAACTCTCCAATAATACGGTTCTAAGATGAAATAGTCTGTAATTAATTGTTTAATTAATTTTATTAATTAACTTACTGTTTTCACAAAATGAATGAACTGTAGTTATAATTAAAAGAAGAATTAGTTTAAAAAACATATTTAATTTTTAAAATAAAGACTCTTTTTATATATTAACTGAAATAAGTCAATATATTTCAGTTAATATATAGGTACCAAGAAAATGTGATTATTTCAAGATAAAAAATGTCAAGTTTAAAACAAAACCTTTGACCGAAGATAACCTAAAGTTGCGTGATAGTATTTAAATTTTTAGCTCCATTTTCTTCGGTTTGTACGAATGGAATACAAGACAGGAAATGATTGCGAAATTTATGTAATATCGATGCGTGCAATTCGGAGGTGCATTGAGGACATTCAATAAAAATGTTGAACTTGCAAATTGGTTTATGTTTAATTCGAATAATATTAAGTTTTAAAATTTTAGTCTAGTATATGTAATCGTAGAGTAAGTATGAATAAATAGAACGTTCAAATAATCTTTCAATTCTAACACCACCTAATATTCAATTTATTGAGATATCTAACGAACAATGTCAAGAATCTTTTGAAACCTTAAAAAACGTTTTGGTTAGCCCACCTATTTTGCAATATCCTGATTTTAATCCGTCAAACGAATTTACATTAACAACAGATGCATCAGGTTATGCGATTGGTGTATCAAATGCAGATAATAAACCACTAGCATACGTCAGTAGAGCATTAAACAAGTCAGAGATCAATTATGCAACAATAGAAAAAGAACTTTTAGCTATTGTTTGGGCTGTAAAACACTTTCGACCATATTTATATGGGAAAAAATTTAAAATTTATACTGACCATAGACCCTTGACATATCTTTTTGGAATGAGTAACCTGTCCTCACGGTTGATAAACTTTAGATTCATATTACAGGAATTCGATTTCAAAAGCATCAACAGCTGATGCTTTATCAAGAATTGTTGTTAATTCCAATGATTTTAAAACCATGTCGGAGAATATTTTTGTACTTACAAGATCGAAACAAAAACTAAAACAAAATTCTGCAGTGGATGAAGGTGTAAATGACGAAACTGATGAAGGGATTGGCCACCTCGGAATCGTTGAGTTATTGAAACCTCCACCAAATTCAATAGAATTACGGCTATGTAACAATAAACGCTTAATGGAAGAAGAGAAGGTAATTTATAATAAAAAACTTAAGATAATTTTTATTAAATCGAGTTCTCGATCAATTCTTGCCTTCGAAGCGGTGTTGAGAGACTTGAGTCACACGTGTGAAATAAATAATATTGCGCAAATATTTATATTAAAATCTCGAGATAATGATGAATTAATTAAGCGATTGTCGAAAAGTGTTACTTTACTAAAAGAATTAAAATTACAAATAAACGTAATCGGTAAAGCAAGTTATATCGATTGTAAGCAAACACGTCAATTGTCAATTTTCATATTCTTCCGACTGGGGGACATGCGGGTATAAATCATATGTATGCTAACATTAAACGGTATTATTTATGGGAAAATCTAAAAGTTGATATAACAAAATTCGTAAAAAGGTGCGAAGAATGCCAACGTTATAAACATTCGATACCTCATAAAGAACCGGTAACAATAACAACAACAGCTTCATCTGCGTTTGAAAAAGTTTATTTAGATTTGGTAGGTCCGTTAAATCGGGATGATGATGATAACCGGTATATATTAACAATTTAATACGAACTTACTAAATTCGTAGAAGGATACCCTCTTAAAAACAAAGAATCCGAAACTGTGGCGAGATCATTCGTAAACAACTTTATATTAAGATACGGGATCCCAAATGAGATTGCTACAGATAAGGGAACTGAGTTTCTAAGTCAGGTGTTCAAAGAAACAGCGAAATTGTTACTTCTTTGTCGTGTTGCTGAATTTATATAGCATTCTTTGGAGGCTATCTTCGTTCAGAGATTAAGTCAGACCCTTCCACCACATATCGTTTCTTTAGATATTTCGTCAATCACTAAATCGAATAGTGCTGAGCTGACGCTACCTTCCTACTTCACTCTAGTTGCAATTGAACCCCCAGTACTCACCTCACTTGCAAGTGAGGTTTGACTGTTTCATCGTTGTGGACCTCAAGTCTTCCAGCATACAATCCCATCTATGGTTTGTTTTCTTAATTGTGTCATATTTCTCGCCGGGCCGTCACTAGCTAATCCAATCCCTTCCGACGCTATGATATGGGTTCTATGAGCAGGTTTTTGTTTTACCACAAGCAGAATGCTAAAGTCTAAAAACACACTTGTTGTTTTATCGATAGCGCATCTTACCACGTTGCCATCTGCTAACTCAGCAATTAGGTTAATACAAGGTGGAAATTTACAGTGAAAGATAGTCCTGACTGTCCAACTTTAATTTGTGACGTTCATTCGCACAAAAACAAACTAACAAGTTGTAATATGCGGTACAACTCGAAGTGAGCATCTTTCAAGACGTTTAGTTCCTCCATTTCCTTTGCCAGTCTGCACAGTAAATTCCTTTCAGCTGTTTTACCTAGAACAGAAAGCAAGCTGATAGGGCGGTTACTTTCAGGTTACCAGCATTTTATTAGACACTCTTTTTATAATTCGACTGATTTATTTCATCACTTGCTCCACACTGATCCATCACCTTTTTGATATCTGTTTAACTTTGAAATACAACTTTTTGCTTGCTTGAAATGAATGAATGAAGTGAATTGAGGGAAGTGGAGATGGATTGGAGGCAGGTGCTGGGGAGAGGGCGGAGGGAAGGAGATGGATAGGGGAGGTGGTGGCAGCGAGAAGACGTAGGGTGACAGGGAGAGACTGGTTAAAGGCATAAGAATTATATAAGTTATAAGTATTGCGGTGTAAATTGTAACCTTCTGGGAAACAATAAATTATTATTAATTATTACGTTAAAGGGTAAATGTATAGCATTAAAGTTCTATAATTTTAAACTAGTTGATTTATTCATCACTTCATTGTCTATACAATAATCCATGATATTAAAAAAGATTAAATATTTTAATTAGCTTCATTGAATTAAAGGTGGGTTCATGCCAAGTGTTTTAGTTTTAGTCATAGTCATAGTCATAAGCGTTTGCTTTAACTGTAGCTATAAGGAAAGGGATTGGTTCATGCAATATTTAAGCATGGCACATTAAAAGAGGATTTTGACATATAAACAGTCGTGCCACAACTCGTTCCAAATTGAAAAGGAAAGAAATTGGGAGTGAACCTGTTTTGTTTATTATGAACAATAAAAAAATTGTTGTCGCTGCTAGAGTAATGTGCTTGAATGCAGCTCTATTAATCGCACAAAGATTAAGAAATAAAAGACGACGGCGTTTTGGTAGAAGACCAATCAATAAAATTAGAAAATTAGAGGCAAATTATGCCATTCTGATTAGAAACATGTTGGAGAAAGAGGAAGACGATTTGCAATTTTTTGCATGTCGTTCCAAGAGTTTAAGGAATTGTTAAGACTGGTTGAACCTTTTTTAACAAAAACACCAAATAAACCTACAATGAAATACAAAACCTAACTGACCTAACCTTAATTTATAAAATAAAACGAAACACTGCTATATGATAAGGACACAAAAGAGAAAAGTGCGCATGCGTTACGTTACGACCAATTGTTTTAGCTTTAAGAAGTTAAAAGTTGGTAAACTTTTGGGACTAGGACAAAAATCATTTTAGTCGTAAGGTGTTGCATGAACAGTACTACTATAACACAATACCCTAACTTTTCACTCTTACGACTATGCCAACAACTACGACTAAAACACGTTGCATGAACCCACCTTAAAAAACCAAAGGAGGAAAATTTAATAATTGAATTAATTTTACAGTTAGCAACAATAAAACAATATTGATGTTGTAATACGAATGTTCTGAATTGATTTTATTTTAAGATCCATTAGGATATTTCTCGACTGCCTAAAGGAAAAAGATTATAATATTTTCATAGAACGTAATCAGTTAGTTGTGACATTTACAATGATTATAATAAGCGCAAACGCGACAGGTGACAAGTCGTTATGTTGCTTTATTTTGCTAATCTCTCCGTTGTACCAAATACATAATCACATCTAAGTATCTTGGCAAACGACGATGAGGTAATTATTGCGTTTGAAATTAAGTGTCTTGGTTTTGTGTGTAACCACATTTATCTTTTTAGCCTTATAATGTTTAGCATGAAAATTTATAATTTTCTTTGTATTAAAAAATTCTTAATAGTTCACATTAATTTAATTAGCACATTAACAACATGGATAATAACTAAGGACATTTAATTGGTTCGAACTTAATTGCTATCTTAAGAATGTTGTAAGCGATTAAATTGTTGTAAATTAATCATTTTATATCGAACAAAACGTACTAATGTAACAGTTCTTAAGCGCTTTTTTCGTTTCAATTTTCAAAATAATCTCCTTATAATAAATTATAACTTAACGAATCTTAATTCATCCTAATTGTCTATAAATTAAAATTAATCCTTAATTAATTGCAACTTTCATATTTACTCATTTGTAAATGAGCAATCGATTAGGTGCCTGGATTGCTTAAGAAAATTAAAAAAAAATATTTTGCATGGTAATACCCTGATAAAGTATTTCTTACCAAGATTTGCATAGGAAGAATGTTATAAAAAGGAAGGGAAAGGTAAACATTTTTCAATTAAAAAGTTTCATCTGTATGTATATATGGTTCGTATCCGGTTTGGCGAGGACGAATTTCGATCGCACGCAGCCCGCCGTCCGGACAATTATAAATAATAACGGTAAATTCACGTGTCTTTCGTATTAATTAAATTGACGGCGAACGCCGTACCGAAAGAAGCCGTCGTCTTTCGAACGAATCCGGCGACGCAAACGGAAACGAGAAAGATTTCCAGATTAATCATCGATCGCGGCGACCTGGAACAAAACATCAATCACCGACGCGAAAGTAAGTTTCTTCGTAACGCGAAAGGTAACTTACAGTTTAAATTCTTCAGAAATTATTAACATACAGAGTGTTTTTGTAAATCTGTACATAATTTTAAGAAAATATAAATGGTTTAAAAACTTAAAAATAAATGGTTTAAAAATTATTAGGTATACTTTAACACAATAGAATTCATTTTCATTTCTTTAGTTTCAGACAACAAACATGTGTAATGTTCGTAGACGTTA